TGGTGCCTTGATGCAGGTACCTCGAAGATGGAGCTGGAGCTATGGCGCCACAGGTAAGTACCGCTGGCCTCCGCCAGCCATCTCTCTCCAACACTACCACTACCAGCTATAAGCGCCCTGCGCTGAAGACTACTACAGCTATGAGCGCCCAGCGCTGAAGACTACTGCTAGCGCTACTACTACTGCCAGCGCTCCTCCTGAGTGCTGCGGCTGAATCCTGAAGACTACTCGTCCTACTGTCCAACTACCTACCCGTGAAGTGCATGGGAACTTCCTATGTACAACTAGGGTACCTCCTGGCTGCAGGTGAGGCAGTCCAGGAGGCTGCTCTTGCCAATGCCGAAGGCAGTCAGGGGCTGCCGCTGCAGCTCCTGCTCAAGGCTGCCGTGGGGAACAGGCCAGAAATAGCCTGTTCCCAAAACCCTGGTTTTGTGCCTGAGGTTTAGGGTAGGTCGATCTTATGAGGGCCCGAAAGTGGCCCTCCGTTTCAGGCTGAAAAGCCTCAGGGCTGAAAAGCCCTGTTATAGGCTGAACGAAATAGGGCCTGCAGGCCCTCGTTTTCAGTTTCAGGCTGAAACGACATGGGGGCCTGTAAGCCTTATTTTCTAGGCTTTTAGGCTGAAAGTGCGGGACGGGCCCTGCAGGCCCGTGTGGCTACGCAGTATGCCACACCCCCCCCTCCTAGAAAAACCGAGCTTACCTGCACGGGCGAAGCTGTCTGTCTGAGGGAGGGACCACAGTCCGGGTGGGAGGGGCTGGTCATGAAGCTTCCTGAGCTAACCTTTGCTTCTCATAATGCGCGTAGATCAGCGGTGCGGATGCTTTCAAATCTGCTCCTGAAATCCACCGAGTGTCGTCACGATCGCATGCTTTGAATGTAACTTTGTACTGTCGCGGCTTGCTGCCGTACTTGCGATCGGTGATGACGCGGTCAACTTCCTGATGACCATCCATAGAAGGAGGGTCCTGTGATCGTCGGCCCGGAAAGTCATCTCTCTTAGCCGGCGTGTATGTTGCCAGCTTTCAGGCGTGAAAGACTGGATGGACCGTCAGATGCGGGGGGATGTTGATCACAAATGAAGGGCCATCGAGCTCATCGCCCGCGGCTGATGTTACGGGCCATGGTCCAAACCACTTGGGAAGCAGTTTGCGTGAGACATGCTGTTCCAGTGCAAACTCTTCCACGGAAACCCAAACCAGGTCGCCGGCGCGGATGGGACATGGCATGCGATGCCTGTTGGCTTGCTGCTGCATGCGGACTTGAGCCTTTCGCATATTTGCGCGAGCTTGAGCTAGCAATTCCCTGTACTTCCGGACGGAAGCGGGAGAGCAAGCGGCATCGATGTCGGCTGGTCGTGGGAGGAGAAGGTCGGCGAAGATACGACCTTTCCGTCCACCATGGTGCAACTCGAATGGAGTCACGCGGATCGCCGGGTGCACCAAAGTGTTGTAGGTGAACTCGATGTCGGGGAGGCGGTCAACCCAATCTTTCTGGTCCGGACGGATGAGCGTACGAAGCATCATTTGAGCAGTTTGATGTGCCCGCTCTGTTTGCCCGTCCGTCTGTGGATGCCGAGCAGAACTTGGTTTCATCTTCGTGCCGGACTCCTGCATGAGCGCAGTCCAAAATGCCGACATGAAAAGAGTGTCGCGGTCCCTGACTCTGTCTTCTGGTACACCGTGGCCACAAATCCAACCGGTGTGCAAGAGGCGTGCCAGCTCGGGAGCCGTGGAGTAGTACTTGCAAGGGAGAAAACGCGCGTACTTACTCAATCGGTCCACGACCGTGAGGATGCCGTCGTGTCCGAAGCGGTCGCGGGGGAATGGTCTGGTGACATCCATGGCAATGGAGAGACCGGGTTCCTGAGGGATCGACATCGGGTGCAGCTCGCCGTAAGGGTTGCGGTTGCGCGGTTTGCTTCGTCGGCAAACTTCGCAAGAGTCGCAATACCTCGTGACGTCGGTGATGAGGTCGGGCCATCGGAATCGCTGTCGAAGCCGTGCAATAGTGCGGTTGACTCCGAAATGGCCGGCGAGTCGCGAATCGTGATACTCGCCGAGGAGGCGAGTCCGAAGACAGCGGTCGCGTGGGACACATAGTAAGTCCTTGCCCCGTGAGTGCAGGAGCAAGTACCCATCGGCGATGCGATAGTGGCTGGCCGACGGGTGATCCGAAGATAGCTGCGCATATAGCGTGGCGAAGTCTGGATCGGACTCATAGCCCCTGATGAAGTGTCGCTGGAGCTCCTCGTCGAATGCGAAGGCATGATGTGTCATAGCGCAAAGATCAGGTCTTCGCGAGAGTGCATCTACTGCGCGATTGGGGAGGCCGGGAAGATGTTTTGGTGTGAAGTCAAATTGGTCAATGAAGTACATCCATCGTCCGATCGTGCTGCTCACTATATCCTGCGTCTTGTAGTAAGTCAGTGGGTTGTTGTCCGTAACCTATGTGAACCTACAACGCCCAAGGAGGAAGTGCCACCATCGCTTGAGAGCCATTACGAACGCGAGCAGCTCCTTCTTCCTTCCATCATCAAGCGAGTTGATGGGAGGCACTTTGTGGCTGAAATACTCCACAGGGTGCCAGTCGTCGCCGTCGTGCTGTTCCAAGACTGCCCCAATGCCATAGCCGGAAGCGTCCGTAGTCACTCGCGTCGGCAGGGTGGGGTCATAGATGCTAAGGACGGGTGCCATGAGCATGGTCGTCTTAAGTGCTTGGAATGACCGGCGTGCGTCGTCATCAAATACGAATGGCACCTTTGGCGATTGTAATCTCGTCATAGGTGCAGCAATCCTTGAGTATCCGGTGATGAATCGCCGATAGTAGTCTGCCAACCCCATGAATGAACGAACGTCCGTGGTGTTGGTGGGCTCGGGCCATACGCGGAGGGCCTCGATCTTGTCTGCAAGCGGACGGATGCCTTGCGGCGTCACATAATGTCCCAAGTACTCCAGCTCCTGCCGTGCGAATTCGCATTTGTCGCGGTTGGCTTTGTACTTGGCTTGTCGTAGCCGCTCCAAAACGGTGCGCAGGTGTTCCACATGCTCGTCCAAACTCCGGCTGTACACCAGGATGTCGTCGAGGTAGATAAGTACGAATCGATCTAGCATGTGTCGGAACTCCGTTGTCATAGCCGCTTGGAAAGTGGTCGAGGCATTCGTAAGGCCAAATGGCATAACCATCCATTCGAAATGCCCATATCGCGTCTTAAACGCGGTCTTGTAGCGGTCCTCCTTCCGAATCTCGAGTTGGTGATATCCCGACTTGAGGTCCAGCTTGGAGAAGAATTTGGCGCCGCCCAGTCGTTCGAGAAGGTCGTCGATGCGTGGGAGAGGGCCGACGTTTCTGATCGTCTGCGCGTTGAGCTTGCGATAATCGATGCACAACCGCAAATCCTTGTTCTTCTTCCGGACGAAGAGAACARGAGCACYGTATGGCGATGAGCTAGGCCGAATCCARMCTTTCTCCAGAAGGTCGYCGAGTTGTRCCCGAARCACACTTAACTCTTCCTCGCTCATTTGGTAGATGCAACCGCGCGGAGGTACGGCCCCGTCCTCGAGGATGATCTCGTGGCGGATGGGCCGATCCGGTACTACTCCGTGCGGCCCTTCGAACACGTCGTCGTAGGCGTCGAGAAGCTTGGTGATGCGTGGATCCGAAGAAGAGTCCGTCGATGAAGCGTCATGGGGCGGGAGGGTGTGGAGAAAACACCCCCCCATCTCCTCGATGTCGTCGCTGATGATGGAAGCTCGCATGCTTGCGGCGAATACCACGTGACAGCTGATCGAAGGATGAGGAAGAGGCACCGTGCATGGGACTAGTACTCCGTTCCTATCACGAATGTGAACGGTGCGGTGGTAGAAGTTCACCGGGTGATCCTCGCTTCGCAGCCATGACATGCCCAAGATCATGTCGAATTTGGTGTCCAGAATGTCAAAGGACGTCATCAATGCACCGGTCGATTGACTTGTGCGTGTGACCGTCCGCCATCGTGACTTGTGTAGGCTGGGGCTTCCTTCGAACATGTGGGCCAAGGCCGGCGCGCACCATGAAGTCCTGGCTGATGTAGTTGCGAGATGCTCCGCAATCGATGAAAGCATTGCAGGTCGCTTCTCCGATCTGAATGCGTACATATAACAATGGTGCATCGATATCGTCGTACCGTTGCGTCTTAAACTCGCTGTCGATCTTCGCAATGTAGGCGTGAAGGTCGACAACCTCTACTCCGGCGTCCATCAACAGAGTCGGTACTGCAGTGTGCAAGTAATCCCACAATTGTGCCATGAGCACGTTGCAATGCGGTTTCGGCAATCGACCGGTCGGGGGAACGGGCATCCACTGGAAGTCCGTGAACATCAACGGGTCGAGCTCTTCAAGTCTTTACCATGACGTCGAATCCCTGGCGATAGATTGCGGCGAAGCTGCCGAATCGGTTGTCGATGGTGATGAAACCGTGCATGCGGTAGATTGTTGCTCGTGGAGCGGTTGGTCCAACGGTGGGACCAAGTGGACAGCACAATCCTCGTAAGCATACCGAGAACTTAAGACATTCGCATCCTCCCCAGATGTGTAGGAGGCCGCTAGCAAGGCGGCCGAATCCGGCGGAGTGGGAGGTGGAGTCGCCTCACCTCCCGCGAAACTCAGTTTCCCGAGTTAAGACGAGGCCGCACATCCTCCTTGGCCTGATCCTGGCAAAGGGAGGTCTTGTGCTTGGTGCTGTTGCACCAGTAACAGCAGTCGTAACGGCCGCGATACTTGTACTCGGCCTCGGTCAAGTTGAACTTGACCCATGGTGCTGGCTGTTCGTTTTCGGCCTGCGATGCTTATTTCGCCTTCCCATTACCTCGGAACTTGTTGTTGCTTCGCGGCTGGACAGCAGCCACCTGATCTCCCTCACGTGATGCTTGGGCGGCTGCCGGGTCTTCTCCACTGTCCGATTGGACTGCAGCGACATGCTGCGGCCGCGGACCAGTCTTTACCTTCTCCACATAGGTCGGCTGCCACGTTGACCTCTCGTGTGCAACCGCCCTGTTGGTCTTGATGATCTCCCTCGCCTTGTCAATGATCTCAGCGAAGGTTGCATACTGCTCGCGATCACCAAGAGCAAGGCTCAATGCAGCGCATGACCTGTTGTAGAACTCACGACACAGATGCGTAAATGGCAAGTCGAGATCGGGCGTTGCCGCGATCTTCTGCCATTCCGTGAGCCAGTTACGTGTTGCTGTGTTGCCTTGCGTCATGTTGAAGAGACGGTTGATGGCGAGTGCAGGTGCGTCGTCCACGATGAACCGCTTCTTCCACAACCGTGTTAACTCTTCTCATGAGATCTTGTCTTTCAGATCTGCGACGTCGACACCGTGGGTGGCTGCCAGGTGGGTTAACCAGACCTGGCATCCGCCCTTTGAGTTAAGAAACAGGGCGTCAGTGTACGTGTGCTTGGCGACTAACAGAATCAAAAGTTGCGTCGTGAAACCTTCCCACTAGAGGACCGGGTCCTGATGTGTGTAGTCATCGAACTTCTCAATTTGAAAAGTTGGCATCTTGTAATGCTGTGTGCTGTTGCCATTCTTGTTAGGCAACTGCAGTTGCTGGACCTCGGTCTTCAAGGTATCCAGCTGATTGCTGATGGTGGTTGGCTCAGCGAAGGTGCTGATGTCGTCGCGCATTGCGACAACGTGGTCGACGCGTTCCTCCAGTTGGCGGTTAGAGGGTGCACTGCTGGACATACCAGCATCAGGTCCTGGTATAGCTTGCTCCAGGTCCAGTATACGGGAATTGAGTGCCCGTGTAGCATCCTCGTGGCTCTGCACTGTCCGGCGGAGGTTCGCCAACTCCTGGTGTTGTTCCTTCAGATCCTGGTACTGTTGCTCAGAGTTCGCAACTGGGATTTTTAGGAATACCTGTACCTGACCTAACCACACCCTCTTTGAAAACCAACCACCCATACCCACGTATACCTGGCCTGTCAGACCTTTACCCATCTCCACCTGCTAAAAAAAAAAAAAACTATACCCTGACCTACCCTACCAGAACCTCTTCAGCATGTAACTGACCATACCTACCCATGAACAATTTTTTTCAAAACCACCCATGGCCACCTGAACCCAAACCGTTTGTTAACCACCCATACCCTATCCTAACCAAGTTTTCTTTACCTATACCCACCCGTACCTACCCATAATTGTATGCACCCACGCGTAACCACCCGTGCTCACCGTCCACCCTTCCCTAACCGCCCATAACCGCCCCTGACTGTCCTTAACAGCCCCCAATTGTCCCTAGCCGCCCTTAACTGTCCCTAACCGTCCCCAACCGACCCTAACTTTTTTTTTTTTTTTTTAACCGCCCCCAATTATTCCCAACCCCCTACCCGTCACAGGATTGACAAGGTAATTTTTATTATTATTAATATTATTATCTTTTTTTTTTTTTTTTTGAGATGTGGCAGCTGTTGCAGCTACTGCCGCAAAAGCAACAGCTGTTACAGGTCGTCACTCTGATTCTGCTATGGATTCATCTGGTGCTACAGCAGCCTATGCAACCTGTATAGCATCTGCAAATACAACAACCATCGGTCTGTCGCACACGCATACACTCTCTCTCTCTCTCTCACACACACACACACACACACACAAATATTACATACACAAGGTTACACACATATGAAAATAGTATGAAACTTTGAAAAACAAAAACTAAAAAAATGAAGAGATATAAAATTCACCCTTGCGAGAAAAAAAGTTTGGGTCATGGGAAAGCGAGAAATTTGGAATATGAGAAAAGTGTCACTCCTGAGCAAAAATACAAAGCCTGCAAAGCTACAAGACTCCCACGGGGTATAGCACGGTTACCTGATCGGAACATCTACCCGCCCGTACCCACCCCTTCTGTTTTTTGGCCACCCGTACCTGTCCATACCCGTCTATTTCTTTTTCTGACCGCCCATACCCATTTACTTTTTTTTGTACCCCTACCCCTACCTGCCCCTACCCACCCATGATCTCCAAAAAGGGCAATTGTGCCCGCCCTAACAACCACCACCTTTTGTTTGTGCCTGCCCATACCCAACTCCCCCCTCGGAAGGGGTACCCATACCCACCCGTAACCTGGCGGTTACAGTTGGGTACGGTCGGGTACAGGTAACGGTTACCCATTTGCGCTCTCTACTGTTGCTGCAGTTCCTGGTTCTTTCTCTCTAACTCGGACTGTTGATAGTTGCAAGCGTATAACAACTGTGTCACGAGTTTGGAGAGGAACTCCTTGTGCTGCTCCTCCGGTGTCGCGTCATTGCCGTTGGACGGTTGAAAGTGCCAGAACTTGAGGCTTTGGATGCTGGCGGCTTCGTGCCGCTGCAGCAGATCCTGGGCTTCCTTGCGGCGTGCCTGGGTATCTGCTTCAGCTTCGGCTTGGAGCCGCTGCTTCTCAGCTGCTGCCGCTGCTTCAGCCTATATGCGGGCAGCCTCGGCTGCCAGCTGGCGCTGTTCCTCAGCCTCAATCAATGCGAGCTGATTCTGGAACCGCTGTTTGTAGTCGGCAATAGACTCATTGGCCAGTTGGCCTGGCATGCCCAGAGCTGCGCCCGTCATGGTGGCGGGGCACTGCTGACGTGGCACTTTGACGTGGCACCGCTGACGTGGCACTGTTGCACTGTTGCTTACGTGGCACTGCTGACGTGGCACTGTTGCTTGCGTGGCACTGCTGATGTGGCATTGTTGCTTACGTGGCACTGCTGACGTGGCACTGCTGACGTGGCATTGTTGCTGACGTGGCATTGTTGCTGACGTGGCACTGTACCAACTCGGAAATGCATGCAAAGGGTGGGTGGGGAGGGAAAACGCAGGTAGGGAACCAACCCAACAATACTTTCCTCCTGGCCCTAATCAACAGATAAAAATAAAATAAAAAATAAAAGAGGACTACTTCCTTTTTTTTCCCTTTTTTTTTGTATATCTGTCGATCTGTTATGAGTGAGACATGTCAGATGAGTACTATGAACGAGATCTAGGCTAGGTTCCGCAAAGTTTCGGCTTTCACAAAAAATGCGATCTTGAATTTTTTTTTTTTTTTTTTTTTT